AAGTTGTTTAAATGATTTAAAATAATTTGTAAAACCCTTAAGAATGTATTTGGCATTATAAAGTGAAGCTATTATTTATTGTTCAATAAAACCCATCAGGAAAATTATTAATTAACTCCACCCTAAAATTTAAAATTTTAGACATTGATAAAAATAAACCTGTCATGTAAAGGTACAAGTTCCCAATGATGAATGTCACTGTACTGTATATCTAAAATGTACCAATAAACTCAATGAGAAAAATAAATAAATTTGGCACTATTACCACTCTAGAGAATAGAAAATATCAGGGCCTGGGGTTTAGCTTAGTCGAACCATGCCCACCTTGTAAGATAATAGAAAATATCACTATTTTAACAGTGTCACAGTACTTCCCCGCTTCGGGGTTATATCTCTGCAATATGGCCTTCTCTACTGCTGACTTCTCTCAACCTTGGAGCATTTGAGTTGCTGGCTGTGCTATGCTGTTTTGCAGAGCTGTGATTGTATCACAGAGGCAAGATGTTTTTCTATCATTTCTATATGTTTCCAGGACATGTTTACATTCATCTGAGCACATGTATTTTTAACATATCTTTATTCTTTATTCTTCTTCACCTCCTTGTGTCTGCCTCTATATCCCTGTGCTCACTTTCACAATTACCATTTTTTGGTTTGTTTATGACGTACAATGATCAACTGTGTTTTGAGTAGTTAGTACATTTACATAACCCATTTTGAATCTTGCTATATTCCCTTTCTTTTCTCCCCTCCCCTCACCCTTGAACCATTGATCCTTTCCCTATCTGCAAAAGGTCTATCTACCAATTTCTTTTTATCAGTCTTCTACTATGGACTTTATTTGTACTATGGATAACTGAAATGAGAAAAATCACACAATATTTAAACTTGTGTCTGATTTATTTCACTTAATATTATATTTAGAAAGTGTATCAATTTCCCTACAAATGTCTTAAATTTGTCTTTTAAGGTAAGATTTTGGAAGTAGTATTGTAAATCACGAACAACTTAATAAACCAAACAAAATTACACTATGTGGAAATTTGGACAAAGGAAGAATGTAAGTTGTTTAAATTATTAAAAATGTAATTATTAAACTGACAAAATTATTTGGCATCACTATTTGTCTTCATAAATTTTAATGAAACTGAAGTCTTCTCTGTAGATTCTTTGATTTTTGGTCAACTGCTTTTATAAACTCTGTTTTCTGACTTTATATCCCTGTGAAACCATTACATGAAATCATTCAAAACAAATATTACCCTGGATTTAGGGAAACTTAATATAATTTTTTTTTCAAAAAAGTATCAACTACATAAAATACATTTTTTTCTTTTCCCCCATATCTTTTAAATTCCCTCAGAATATACCTAATATAAAAATTATTTTATATATTACTACAAAACAGCTACTGTACAATTATCATTTCTTAAATATATTTGTTAAGCTCTGTTGACTTTCAACAAAGAAAATTCAGTCCATAAAAAGTCAGTCTACGCTTGTATTTGGAAAGAAATTGAAACTATAATAGGAATATTATCACTATTATTATCAGAGTCTCAGAACCTAGACCTGTTCTTGGAAGATCACAGAGTCCCTATAAATTTTGTATAATCAATGTTAATTGAGAATCAAGAAAACTCTGGGAACCAACTCTAGTTTTCTCTGATGATGTTCATTCTTTCTTCTTGCTTTCCTTCTTTCTTTCCTCAGATGGGAGCATTCTCCTTACATTTCTGTTTCAGCCTTATAGAAAGTGGTCCTCTGATTGCTTAAACTCCTTGTCCCTGGTAATATCCATGACTAGCTGTCAGTCTAATAATGGATACTATTTTTAAATTAAATATCAGATTATGAACAGTCTTAGTGAAAGAACAACTCATGGACCTTTCTGTAATAGGATATTATAGGAACAGGAATACATAGATTCAGTAACCACACTTCAAGCTAAACACACTCTTACCTGAGATGAAACTATGTGGCAAGTTGTAGGTAAAGTTTATGTATGGTATTGAGTTGTTAATATATGTGATATAAGTACAAGAATTAAAAAAGATATTTATTGATGATTGAAGGAATAAAAATGGGAAAATAGTGCAACTCCAAAAAATTAAAATTATAAATAAAATGAAAAAAATCAAAGTACCCAACTAGCTAATATTTTAAACTTTAATTGTTAGAATTTTAATATGAGTTATTTGGACTAATAATCTATTTTTTAAAAATATTTTAGGGCCAGGGGCTGGGGACTTAGCTCAGTGGCACTGTGCCTGCCAAGCAAGTGCAAGGTCCTGTGTTCGATCCCTGGTACAAAAAAATTAAATAAAATGAAAAAAATCAAAGTACCCAACTAGCTAATATTTTAAACTTTAATTGTTAGAATTTTAATATGAGTTATTTGGACTAATAATCTATTTTTTAAAAATATTTTAGGGCCAGGGGCTGGGGACTTAGCTCAGTGGCACTGTGCCTGCCAAGCAAGTGCAAGGTCCTGTGTTCGATCCCTGGTACAAAAAAATATATTTTTTATATAATACATATAAATAAA